GATCTGATTGATTTGCCTTTTTGTCCCAGACCAGACCTCCAGGAGCTTATAGACAGACTGAAGTCCCTTGGAGCAGACTATATCATCACAGAAGAGACATTGAGAAAACCAGAAATGAAAGAATTATTCAAGGTATAGGTGAGAATCCAACTTCCAGAAATCAGAGATGGTGAGGAGAAATGCAGCTTCTGCAGTGAACTGGATTATTCTGTTAAATGGCTGCTCTTCATTCATGACCATACCTCCTAGATGAGAGATGTAGCAGATGATAAGAGTTGACTGCTGAATGGCTTCTGTATTCAGCTCAGTGACATGGCTAAAGATCTCCCTTGCCACATTTAACATCTTAATTTAATCTGATCCATGTCATGTAACAGGAAGCTGGTGAAAGGGGTGTTTTAATGGGGAAGTGCTTAACACTTGTTTTTCTGTGAAACTGAAGACCCAGGCCAAACTCTGTCATCTTTTTACAAATTAATGAGATGAGGAGCTTTGGATGAGGATAGTCAGGGTCCTTGGGCACCAAGGATTTGCTGCAAAGGAGCAAAGAAAAAGTCATAGGGCTGCTTAATATCACCATGAAAATATATATACCAAGGGTGACCAGACTTATTCAATAGAAAAACCATATACAGTAAATGTCCTATGTTAGAGAGTTGCAAGCAGGCGCCCACAGGCAGTACCAGCAAGCCACAAAATAAACTCAAAGAGCCGCATGCAGGTCATCACAAGCCCTGGTTTGGCCACTCCTAATCTATCTGCTTGCTATAAGCAATAGGGGACCAATATAGCAATGTGCTTCCCTGCCCAAATAAACATCAAAGGAGATTATTATTCTTTATGGGCTACATTTTTATGCCCCCTTTCTGCCAAAACACTAAAAACTTTGCAGCTTAAAATTATAGTTTTAATTTCAGATGAGATACAAAATGACTCTGAAGGAAAGAAGAAAGTGAATATATTCAGGTGCCAGTTCGTTGATATTGTTGCATAGCGATGCTTCAACTTTTGCTATGGACTATAACACCCTTTTCTTTTATGAGACACACTGGTGGAGAGTAAAGGGAAAAATATAATTATGTTTGTCCTCCCTTCTTCCTCCACTCCACCCGCAACCCCCGCATTGCCTCTTACTGCTCTGTGTTAATGTTCCCTCTGCAGAGAAACGATTTAATGAGTCCTGGTAAAAGTTCTCAGTCCATGTAGATTCCAGTTATTCATATAGTCCCAACAAATTTCAAAAGCCTTATAGAATGAGGTGGTTTTGTCCCCATCTGTCCTGAGACTGTCTTGACAACTATTGGTTGAAAGTATGAATACTTGGACAATTCTGTGATTCTACTTGGCTGTGAATGAAGTAAAACTAATGGGGTTCAGATATGTTCATCTCCTTTTCATGTTACAAGAATCCAAAGCCTGAATGGCAGAGGTCTCTGAATAAAGCAAGACTTCTAAGCATTTTCTCATGAACAGAATGTGGATGAGGCAATGGAAGAGGCAACTTACTTCTATCAAATCTTGTGTTCTGCAGAAAATTCCTCAGCCTGTGTTAGCTTTGAATGGCGTAGGAGGGAAAAGTGCTACCGAGTTACTGCGTCATTTGCAGTAAGTTCAGCTGTTTGTTGGTTATTTGAATTGTGGGTGTCTAACAATAATAGCTTATTGTTTCATTGGATTGAATCCAGACTTAGTTATGCTTAGAGTTGACACTACAAAGTGAGGGCTGCAGGAAAGCCACGGCTCACTTCAGTCCCGTTGATTTCAATGGGTCTTTTCTAAGCATGACTATTTCTGTTGTGTATCTGTGTGTTTTGTATATTTGTATTGTGAATTGTCCTGGAATGTTTATGAAGGGAGGTAAAGAGTGCTTCCAGTAAATATAGTTAAATAAATACTATTGATTACTTACCGCTGGGGTTCAGCATGGTAGATTTGCAAAATTGTGCTTTGTGTTAGCATGTTTATATTTGCTGTTGAAAGAATAAGGTGGTGGGTGAATGGTGAATGTCAAAACTAGCTTCCCAGATTCCACCTCTTAGCATTACTGGTTGCATTTCAGTCACACACTGTGCCAAAGATTCAGCTGCGAAGAAATGAGGGCTGGAGAAGTTAGCCAAATGACCTAAAAAAGGAGGAAATTGGCCAATAAGGAAAGCTGTCTGAATTAAGAAAATAAGCTTGCCCTCCTGAACTGAGGAAGCCTGATAACTGTTTTAGCATTCTAACCTCATAGCTGACTCTCTTCGCTTAGGCATAAAGGGACTATGGTTACCTATGGTGGGATGTCAAAGCAGCCAGTCACAATCCCTGTGGTGAGTAGCCATGAAATTCCATCTTAATTTTCTTTCCACAGCCTGTGTTTGCACTTCTAGCTGTTTTTCCTGTCGAATTTGTCCACCAGCTCCCCCTTGTAACGAGCTGTCCTTCCTCTCATGCTGGTCTATGATGTGACCCAAAAGATCCTCTGAAAGAAAGTACATTGCAACCGTTGTGAATTGTCCTCTTCCTACCTATTTCTGCAGAGTGCACTGATCTTCAAGGATGTGAAGCTCCGTGGCTTTTGGATGACCCGTTGGAAGAAGGACAACAGCCACAGTAAGTGATGGTGTGTGCAGGGTTTTGGCATGGGCTGTGCATGTGGAAGTTCCAGGCTCAGCCCCTGGCATCACCACTTGCAGGCAATGTGGAAAACCTCAGCCTGACACCCTGGCGAGTCAGAGGCATTGATCAGCTTCCGCCAGACCTTCATGCATCTCTCGTGGCCATGTTCAGAGTCTTCTGTTACTGTCCAGATCATCAGTAACTCGAATAGAAATGTGTGTTTGTACATACAGTTATCCCAATGTGCATCTCACAAGATGCATTATCTAACTGGCTCTGCCTGCCCCTCAGCCAGCATTCAGCCTCCATTGCACCCAGTCGCCCCCCACCTTGCCCAACTCCAGTTACTTCAGGAAATGGGCCAACAGAGTGAACGGTCTCAAACTGGGAAAAATGCAAACAGTCTTTTGCAGAATTGCATAGCTGGCATTCTTCTTACAGACATAAAGGGGCTATGTTTTCCTGTAAGGAGATGGCAAATTCAAAAAGTGGAGCTGAAAGCCTGCCATGTGCCCTGCCTGCCCAGCGCAGTGCACAAAAGACGCAACTCAAGCGACTCTGAAAGGATAGTCAGAGTTCTTGTGTGTTGCTTGGACTGTGATAACACTCTTGAGCTGCCTATTTCTAGATAGAACCTATTTTAAAATAATGATTCTCTTATACAATTGTAGTTCAATCATTCTGAAAGAGAAGAGTTACTATCTATTCTTCTTCGGTCTCTGTGCGAGGGGCCTGTTGTTGGGAAGATGTTCATAGCTAAACCTATTCTGTTGGAGTTTTTTTTCCTTCTTTGTTTTTTTAATTATTTTCTTTTAATTGGTTTTTTCTTTTAATTTTTTATTTTCTTAAGATGAACAAATAGAAAATCATAAAACAAAACAACAATCACGAACAAAACAGCTAAAATAGACAAGTTTGCTAAGGGAATTCTATACAAATCCAACCAATACAATCAGCCCTCCAAATCAATCTATTCTCCTGTCTTTCTATGCTCCATGAGAGTTTAACAAAAAGGAAATAATTAATCTATACCACAACAGAGCCTTCAGTCAGGTCAAATCCTCTACTGCTTCCTTTCCTTTTCTAAACTCCTCAAATCCCACTAAACATACCAAGTACAGTAAAATTCTATTTCTCCTCTGACAATCTTCTGTCTGCACAATCTTCTGTCAACGTGGCCATCACAACATACTCCGCCAATCCGTTTCTCCATTCTTCCATTGTTGGGGACTCCGACGATATCCATCCAGAAGCAACTGCAATTCTTGTCATGATTTTCATATACCCAAATAACTCTAACATATTCTGTGAAAGGCTCCCTGAGACTATATTCAAAAAGCATATTCATTTTGACTCTAATATTCAGTCTAAGGAGCTTAAACAATTTCAGAAGCTAAACTCATTCTGGTAGAAGCCCCGCTGCTCCTTCAGTTTACTATATATAGGATGGACTCCTGCCATTTCCCCCAGTTCTTTTCTGACTGTTTTTTTGGGTGCCTATTCTGACTAACCACTGGGTGAACTCCTGTCCTTATGCCAGAGATTGACCTGGCAGGCTCAGAAAGACTGAATGGGCCAACCCCGATTGGAAATGTGGCACCTCGCCCTTACGGCCATTCAGCCGGTCACAGCGGCCCTGCCAGAGTACCCTTCAACTTCACAGGCAACTCCTGCTTCTCATCCTCCATCAGCCGCAGCTGGAGCTCCAACAAGTCCTTGTCTCCAGGTCCTGTGTCCCAGCCACCAGTTCCTGTCCTCCAGCCCCCCCCTGCCCACACCCATCCTGCTTCACCTTGGCCATCCAACTGGTCCTCATCCTTGGATCTGGCCAATTATGCATCTGCTATATCTTCATTCCCAGAAGACATCATTTTGGTACAGGGTCTGAATCACCCTCCAAAGACCTGGGAAGGGTCTCCAAACAGGCCCTCTGAATGATACACAGCAGCTCACCGAACTGCCAGTGGACCCAGTCTGTGACATCATCCGTATGTAGGACTCAGTGCTAGTGGCTGTGTTGTTCCTTTCCACATTCCTCCACTCCGTGAAGGAACCATGGAAGACACCAGCACAGCTGTAGTCGACATCGTGCCCTTTGGAGAACCTGTACCAGGTCCAGGAGAAGACACATTCCTGGTGTTTCATCTGCAGCTGAACTCGGTTATTGTTGGGTTGGCACGGGGTCAGGCACAGAAGAAACACACCATCCTGGTTGAGATGAAGACCATGGCAAGGAGGGTCTACACAGCAATGGAACTGGACCGCCACATGTCCAGCTACGAGGCAACCATGGTGTCTTCCTGGAGGAGGATTCCTCAGATGAAGAGAGACAGCACAGTGGGCCCCAGACACAGGGACTGTGGCTGCAGATGACTTCCCTGCTCTAAGGGAGCAGCCACATCCCTCTTGGGCAGTCCCTGGGGTTCCTCAAGAGCAAGAGCCAGGGCAGAGAGAAGTCACCCATTAGAAAGGAGGAGTGCATGGCTTCAACAAAAGTCCAGACAGGCTGAATGGGGAGTTTTCCGTGAAACACCACACTGACTTAATTAGTCAGCTTTGCTGACTTAGAGCTGACTATAAATGAGAGCAGACAGAACCTGTCCTTCATGGCAGATAGCAAGCATTGTTCTCCACATTCTCTCATTTTGTTAAAATTAATTGGTATCTGGATTTCTGGCCTGTTTACTGGACATTCTTTCAGAAACTCTGCCTGACTTGAAACTCCGGACACACACAAGAGCCATGGCTCTTGACCTGAACTGACAATTCTTAAGGTAACTCAGACACTGGGCATTTGTGGGGAGGGGCTCCAATTAAAACCAGTTTATCTAGGAAAACCTTCCTGATGACAGGCCCCACCTGGATGCAGAACCCATGTGTATGAAAGCATAGATGACCACTTGAAGAAATCAGTTACAGGTAAGCAAGCTGACCTTACGTGCTTTCTTCCATGCTTACAGATAAAGAGAAGCTAAAAGACATGATCGCAGATCTGTGCACCCTCGCTCGCAAGGGTCAACTCACTGCTCCAGCCTGCCAGGAGGTGCCTCTGATCGATTACCAAATTGCTGTGAAGGCTTCGATGAAGCCATTTGTGTCAGCTAAGCAGATCCTCCGCATGTAGAAGGTGTCCCATGGGAAAAGTGTATGCAGCTCGTTAAGGTGGATTTCCATTCCTGCTGTGGCTCGATTGCTTCCAGGACTAGAGAACCGAATTGCTACAAAGTCCCCTTCCCTGTGGCTCAGCAGATTGACTTCAGAAGGAAAACTGTGGTGGGGGACCGGGGGGGGGGGGGCAGCTGCAGACACTGAATGTACAAATAGGATCACAGTCAAATGATAATGATGTTGTGGGAGATTAAGAACTTTGTTTCTGCACAACCAGGGAATGCTTGTGAGTTTCAGTGCAAAAGGTGAGATGACAGACCACCTTTCACGACCTGCCTTGAGCCGTTCTGCATCCTGGCCACCTTTTCAGTAGAGAAGCTGCAGAAATGGTGCTCTGTGTGTGCACTCCGAATGCCCAGCGCCAACGCTCCCGTGACCTCCTCACCTCTTTTCTGATAATTTATTTATTTTATTTATTAAAACATTTTTATGCCGCCCCATTCGCCGAAGCCTCGGGGCGGCTTACAACAAAAAAATAAAATAACATTTTAAAATACATACAATAAAATACAAATATATAATATAAAACATACACTATAAAACAAGCCGCCCTGGCCAAATAAAATTCAATAATATTAACATTTAAAATACTGCTTAAATAAAAAGGTCTTCGCCTGGCGCCGAAAAACAAATAACGACGGCGCCAGGCGGACCTCTCTGGGGAGCGCATTCCATAACTTAGGCGCCACCGCAGAGAAAGCCCTCCTCCGAGTAACCACCCTCCTAACTTCTTCCATGGAGGGCTCCCGGAGAAGGGCCTCTCCCGCCGATCTCAGGGGGCGGCTGGGCATATAAGGATGTAAGCGCTCCTTCAGGTAACCAGGACCCAAGCCGTTTAGGGCTTTATAGGTCATAACCAACACCTTGAATTGGGCCCGGACTTCAATGGGAAGCCAGTGAAGCTGACGGAGAACTGGAGTCATGTGAACATAACGTCCAGTCCCCGTCAGCAGCCTGGCAGCTCTATTTTGGACCAATTGAAGTATCCGGACCGTCTTCAAGGGTAGCCCCACGTAGAGCGCGTTACAGAAGTCCAAACGGGAAGTCACCAACGCATGTGTCACTGTCGCAAGGCAGTCATTCTCCAGATAGGGGCGCAGCTGATGAATTAGCCGAAGCTGGAGGAAAGCGCTCCTCGCCACTGCTGTTACCTGAGCTTCCAGTGAAAGCTCTGGGTCGAGGAGCACTCCCAAGCTGCGGACCTTGTCCCTAAGAGGGAGTGCAACCCCATTCAGGACAAGGTTCAATTCACCCTCTCCGAAGCCCGATCCGCCAACCAACAGGACCTCCGTCTTGTCTGGATTGAGCTTCAGTTTATTGGCCCTCATCCAGCCCATTACCTCGGCCAGGCACCGGTTCAGCACAGCCACTGCCTCACCTGGATTGGTGGAAAACGAGAGGTAGAGCTGGGTATCATCAGCGTACTGATGGTTCCGCAGCCCACACCTCCTGATGACCTCTCCCAGCGGTTTCATGTATATGTTGAACAGCAAAGGGGACAAAATGGACCCCTGCGGTACTCCATGGCATAGCTGCCATGGTGCAGAGCCATAGTCCCCCAGCACCACCTTCTGGAACCGGCCATTGAGATAGGAGCGGAACCACTGCAAAGCAGTGCCTCCAACCCCCAATCCCGCAAGCCTATCCAGAAGGATACCATGGTCGATGGTATCGAAAGCCGCTGAGAGGTCCAGCAGAACCAACAGGGACGCACTCCCCCTGTCCTTCTCCCTGCACAGGTCATCATACAGGGCGACCAAGGCAGATTCAGTACCGTACCCGGGTCTGAAGCCGGACTGCAATGGGTCCAGATAATCAGTTTCATCCAAGAGTGCTTGGAGTTGTCCCGCCACCACTCGTTCTAACACCTTGCCCAGAAACGGTATGTTGGCCACTGGTCTATAATTAGTGGCCATCTCTGGATCCAGTGACGCCTTCTTCAGGACCGGTCGGACTACCGCCTCCTTCAAAGGGGCAGGCACCCGACCCTCCCTCAGAGAAGCGTTAACCACTTCCAAGATCCAGGTTCCAATCCCGCGCTTGGAATCATTTATTAACCAAGACGGGCAAGGGTCCAAAAAGCAAGTGGTTGGACGTACTCGCCCAAGCACCTTGTCCACATCATCGGGCCGCAATAACTGAAATTCATCCAATAAATCTGGACCAGACGGCAGCGTTGGTGTCTCCTTTGAAACCTCTGAATCAATAGTGGTGTCCAGCTCGTGACGAATCTGAGCGATTTTCTCCCTGAAATGCCTGGCAAAGTCGTCACAGCGGGCCTTTGAGGGTGGAATCAGGTCTTCCTTTGGACCTGGACGGACCAGGCCTTGCACCACTCGAAAGAGCTCCGCCGGACGGCATTGTGAGGAGGCAATGGAAGCGGAAAAGAATCTCTTTTTTGCCGCCCTCACCGCCACAGCATAGGCCCGATAGTGGGCTCGTAAGTGTGTTCGGTCAGATTCATCTCGTGATTTCCTCCACCTACGCTCTAGTCGTCTCCCAACCTGCTTCATCGCCCTCAATTCAGGAGTATACCAAGGGGAAGAGCGGGCTCTGCCCGGTGGGAGAGGACGCTTAGGAGCGATCGTGTCTACAGCCCTGGTCATCTCCCCATTCCACAGTTCGACCAGAGCCTCGACAGGAGCACCCATCTTGTCAGCCGGAAACTCCCCCAGGGCCTTCAGGAATCCTTCTGGATCCATCCGGCTCCGGGGGCGGACCCACATAATCGGGTCCGCACCCTTACAGAGGGAGAAGTCGCTCTCGAGCATAAACCTCACCAGGAAGTGGTGAGCATAAACCTCACCAGGATAATAGAGGGCTTCCACATGGGGTGGAGGTATTTGGTGCTGGACATGGAAGTGGATCACTTTCCTAGCAGGCTTTCCCTCTTGTGCACAACTAATTTATATGTAGCAGCCTTCCCTGACCTGGTGCCCTCCAGTTGCTTTGGACTTCATCTTTCATTAGCTTTAGCTAGCATATCCAGGTTAGGAATCCAGGGAGTGCCAGGGTGGGGAAGGTGCTATCAGAAATCTGCATTTGGCTTTTTATTTTAATTTTTTGTAAAATTTAACAAAACAAATCTGCTTTTGCTATAAATTGGAGGGTTAAGGTACTACTATGTAATATTTCCCTCATGTTAGGCTTTTGATGTACAGACTATAAAAACATGTGAATTTTCTACGGGTCCTTCCCCTCCCATTAAACTCAAGGCCACTTCCTGCCCTACAAGAGTACTCTGACCAATCAGAGTCACTATTGTGACTGTAAATCATCATACTGTACGCGTTCAGTTCACATAACCTGCTCCCGAATAGATACTCAGGCATTCCTCCGCATGCTTCAAGCATGCATCTGTCACAGCAATGCTTGCTGTCAAGCAAGATATGCCTAAATAAACTGGATGTAATTAAAATGGAGATGATTTAATGCCATAAGCTGTCATGTGCAGGGCAGATCTGGCAGGCGCTCCCAGGGACCGTGAGGCTCATCTGGTCGGCCACTTACTGGCTTATCACACCTTTTAATGTAGAATATTTGTCTGTTAGGAGTGGGTTACCTACCATGATGAAGCTGTATTCAGCCCAGGGTTTTTCCCTGAAGTAGCCAGCTTTCAGGTGAGTTTCCAGGTGGCTGTTGTGGGGAGTTCTGTGGGTTGAGGGAGAACCTTGCCAGACCAGATGCAGCCTGCGGGCCTCCAGAGCCCTCTTTCCATTCTGTGTATAATGCACAGAAAGGAAGGGTTTCGAATTGGTTATTCATACAAGATGGCTGTAACTGAAATAAGGGCAAATTGTATTTGACTGCAGACCTGTTCTCGCAGAACCATGTAATGGCCATTGAAATGCCAATAATTTTCATTTCCAATAAAAATTCTCTGGCTCTGATCAGTGATGGTGTTTTTGCTTGGGCTTAGTAATAAGATACGGCACTCTTGAAGCCATTCGGTTCCATAGTGTTGCTGTATGAGCCTCGAATACATTTCATGGTTCTGCTTTCATCATTTGTGTGGTGCTTTTAGGCATTGGATGCAAATCGTGTGACGAGTGGGGGCACATGCACACAATGTAACCTGCTGTACTCATCCTTGACAAAGATACCGGCGCATGAGTTCATTGTAATGAGAGGGTCGATCAATCCCACGCAGATTGGATTCCACATTCAGGCCCACAGAGAAATTTGGCCTTTAATTGAGTGACAAATTAATTTAATTGTCCTAGAAAAATTAGCTATAATTTCTGTAACCCAACAAGTATTCATTGATGGATCAGTCAATTTCATCATCCTACAGTACTTAGAGGCTTGTCTAGCTGTAAATATAAGAACAAGAAAGGGAGGCATGTTCACCTCTGTCATCTCTGAGCCCTCTGTCTTTTGAGCCACCATCTCTTAAGACGGTGAAGTATATCAAGTATGATTCCTTGAAGTATTTTTGTTCTGCTCATCAGCCAAAAAGACTCCCAGAGCAGCTTACATACAACCAGTACAACAGGACAGTCCCTGCCAGCAGGCTTACAATCTAAAACTCAGAGTGTAAGAAAAGAGGGGTGGAGGAAGGAAGAGGGAGGAAGTAAGTCTTTCAATAAAGCTGATGGAATGGGGCTGCTTCTCCCTCTCCTCTCCCTCAGGAAGGCCCCCTGGAATAGGAGGTACCCAGGCTGTAGCAGGCAACACCCTAGCTGCATCCTTCCTTTTCTCACACTGGAAAGAGGGACTGTTCCAGGATGGTGTTTGCTATATGGGGTGAGGGTGCAGCGTCATAATGAGTGCTGAATACTATAAATACTTTTGAAAATCTGCCTGCTGAATCAGTAGATCTAACAAACCAGTTCAAGGCAGCAGTCACAATCTCACGTGCAGATAGAAACCAATCCAACAGCAACGCTTAGAGTTGTAGGACTTTGGTCTAAAGATGCATAGGACTGTGACCTCAATCCTGCAGCTGTAATTTGTCTACTATGCACTCTTCCATCCTTTCTCTTTCAAATTTGCAATGTATGGCTGTGAAAGTTGGACCATAAGGAAGGCTGAGCAGCAAAGAATTGAGGCCTTTGAATTGCGGTGCTGGAGGAGACTCCTGCGAGTCCCTTGGACCGCAAGGCGATCAAACCGGTCAGTCCTAGAGGAGACCAACCCTGACTGCTCTTTAGAAGGCCAGATACTGAAGATGAAACTCAAATACTTTGGCCACCTAATGAGAAGGAAGGACTCCCTGGAGAAAAGCCTAATGCTGGGAACAATAGATGGCAAAAGAAGGAGGGGACGGCAGAGGATGAGGTGGCTGGATGGAGTCACTGAAGCAGTTGGTGTGAGCTTGGATGGACTCCGGGGGATGGGGGAGGACAGGAGAGCCTGGAGGAATGTTGTCCGTGGGGTCATGATGGGTTGGGCACAACTTTGTGACTAAAACTCTTTCAAGTAGAATGTAAGATACTGCCTTTTATCTATACAACAATCTTAGCCAACTAACTCGGGATTGCCTGCTTTGACCGGGGGGGGGGGGGGGGGGTCTTCAGCAAAGTAGTGTCCTGTCCAATCCTTTTAGCTACCAAGCCCAAGAATTGATGCCTGGGAGCCCACACACAGACCCACTACTCTACCACTGAAGTTCGGCTTCTTTCTCAAGAGGAGAGATTACCAATACCAGGTTGTCCAGTATACATGATGAGCTGGAAGTAGCACTTTACTTAAAAGGATAGTGCGTGCCTCAATTTTTTTCCTGCCTGGAGAGTTTGCAGTCTGCTTTCTCTTACTGCTGATAATGGAAGAACTTTCCTCTGTCAATTCAGCAGGTGAGCTGAGGTGCTTGTGCTCTCATTCTGAGCTAAGGCTCAGCATACGCTCGAAAAAACTGCTCCTGCTAAGATAGTTGGCATCATGGCATGCAAGGTAAGTTAGAAGTTCTCCACTGCAGGTCATAAAAAAGAGACCACCAGCTGCAAAAAAGAAGACAAGTTAGTACACAAGTCTTAAGGCTAGCCTCCCCCTATCAGCCATCTTGGCTGGGGATGAAGGGACTTGCAGTCCAACACAGCTGGAGGGTGTGAGGTTGAGCAAAGCCTTTTTCCCTGGAAAAAAAGAAGCAGTTCTGCCCTTTCTTTTATTTAGACTCGTTTGCTCCTGGGGAGGAAAGCTATGGCAAATCTAGACAAGATACTAAAAAGCAGAGACATCAACCTTCTGACAAAACTGCATATAGTCAAGGCCATGGTTTTCCCAGTTGCAATGTATGGCTGCGAAAGTGAGACCATGAGGAAGGCTGAGCACCGAAGAATTGGGGCCTTTGAATTGTGGTGCTGGAGGAGACTCCTGCAAGTCCCTTGGACCGCAAGGCAATCAAGCCGGTCAGTCCCAGAGGAGACCAACCCTGACTGCTCTTTAGAAGGCCAGTTACTGAAGATGAAACTCAAGTACTTTGGCCACCTAATGAGAAGGAAGGACTCCCTGGAGAAGAGTCTAATGCTGGGAACAATGGATGGCAAAAGAAGAAGGGGACGGCAGAGAATGAGGTGGCTGGATGGAGTCACTGAAGCAGTCAGTGTGAGCTTAAGTGGACTCGGGATGGTGGAGGATAGGAACGCCTGGAGGAATGTTGTCCATGGGGTTGTGATGGGTCGGGCACGACTTCTCGACTAACAACAACAAATTATCACAAAGCGATCGCTCTTTGGCTTGCTTCATGGCGGCATCAAGAGGCCAAATCAGAGGGGTTGCAACAAACACTTCAGGCTCTCTCCAGAAAATGAAGAGAAGTGGTAGGCCCCGCAAGTGTCCTTCCTGTACCAGTAGCCTGGACTGTGAGTTTCCAGTGATGCAAATTGGGATGACGTGGAATATTCCAGTAATCGTGCCACTCTTCTTAATAAGAGTGATTTTGTTTTTGCTGACCTTGCCGAAAAAAAGAAAAACTTACCAAGTGCCAACCACCATTGCCAAACCAGAGGAAATTCTTTCATCACTGGGGGAAAAAAATCAGAAAAGTTTGAAATAGCACAGCTATGCTGCAAGGGTTACTTGTTAATAAGGAAGCTCCACGAGCGGACTGGCACATGTGAGTGTTTCATCGTCTTTTCTGCTCGTGTATTAGAGGACCCAAGGCACACTCTGGAACTGTGCTTTGCTCTGCTGGCAAAAATGGCCATCTTTGAGATGGGCGGTGGGAGGAATTGCACGGTTGTGTGATGACCACACAATGTACTTCTAAGCAGCAGAGCTGAACATTGTATGGAGAAGGGCAGAAGATCTTGCAAGGGATCTGATCCAATTCTAATTTAGACCAGGACCACCTGAATTACTTGCCAAAAGAAAAGAAAACCTCCCCCACAAGCGTGTTTTTGGCAGACTCAACACTGTGGCTTGGTTTTTAGTTAGGCCTCCTGTACCTGATGGTGGAGCTTTTGGATGTATGGGACGTGAACATAAGAATAGTCCCACTGGATCAGACCGAAGGTCCATTTAGGGAGGTTCCTCTTTCCCCCAGTAGCTAATTGGCTTCCTCCTTCACAAGTCCATGCACCCTTTCATCCCTGTGGGGGGTTTTCATCAAAAAATCTATTCCCCAGTGTTGCAATTTGCTCCCAAAGGTGCTGTTTCCTGCCGTGGGGGGGTGTTATATGGGGCAATTAGGCACAGCGGGGAGGAAGAACTCTGAATCAGGTAATACTGGGAGCAGGGCAAAGGGACCGTTCCAATTCCTGGTTTAGTGGAGCCCTTGGGCAAGATGATTGTGATAGCCCCATTTTTTTCCTCAGCACTATTAATGTTGCCTCTCCGTCTGGCTCCAGTGCACAACAGCTCCCATAAAGAGAGGAAGAGGCAGGGCCCGGTAGCTCCATGGATTGGCAGTGGGGGCCTTGGCAGATACCCAAAGGTGCTGACCTCCAGCATTTACCCTGCAGCCACCAAGGATTGGCGTCCACTGGCTCCAGCTTCTCTCCTTGCCTTCCAGGGGGGCCGAAATCCTTTCACATGCTGACTGGGCTACTGAAGCGAGTGGCTAGTGCACTGTTCAGGCATGGCAGATCCAATCAGCCTGGCTCATCTTATCATGTGCAAGTCCATCCATCTTCCTGCAACTGCCCCCCATTCCTTGCTTGACTCATCAATCATCTCTTAATTTGCCCATCTTCTTGTACCCATTCACCTCAATCTTGGAGCACAGAGGATCGCCTCCCTTTAAATTGTGAGCCGAAGGGAGGGAGGGAGGGAGGGAGGGAGAGCAAGCAGTGCTTTTGCAACTGAAGCAGCTGCCATTTATCATGCTCCAGCCAGTGCAAACACAAATCATGCCCATGTTGGAGACTGATACCAGGTCCCTAATCAGAAACTACACGGCAAGTGGGCTTGGAAAAAACACGGTCCTTTCCACTCAAGCCCGAGTGTTGGCCACCTCAGCCCCATTTAGCAGAATTGCTTCGTTTATGAATAAGCAATTAGTCTTTCCACAACCCCCCACCTGCCAGCAACCTGAAGGAGGGGCGACTGTAGCTCTCAAAGGGGGGGTGGGGGGGGGCAACGACATAAGTGATGGGTCTCTCTTGTTCTGGTCCATTAGCACCAGTGGGCTGCAGATGGCGATGCCTGTCTTTGCAGCAGTGGCATTACAAGAGAGATGGAAACGGCTTTCCTGTTATCATTGGTTCCAAGATGGGCAGAAAGGAAGAATGGTTCCACATGGCCCTGGGATTAATGGGACAGAACAACAGCGGAGGCAGAGGGAGCAGAAGCAGCTGCAAAAGCAATTGAAAGCTGTTTCAGAGCAACTTTTTCTTCCATGGTAATGTTCATATTTGCTTTAAAGCTGTTTCTGATTTTGAGCTGTCTGGATCATTAGGTTGTGTTCTGGAGTGGGGGAGGTGGTGGCATTCAGTGGCTGTGGGGAGAAGGGGCAGGGCTGGTTGAATCGTCCTGGTGGATCATTCCCTAGCTGTGCCACATCAGCAAAGGCAGGCAGTGTTAAATACTTCCCTAGAGGAGAGGAGCAAAACCTCAGCCAAATCTAGCTTATCTGGGTCCTAATCAGCTACTCCCACACTTCCCAAAGACCTGATCCCTATCCCTGATCATTGATTGCTTGGTATTTTCACATTTTTTGTTCCATGTTCACAAAGGATGAAGAAATGCCTCTTTGTTACTGGCAGTTTTAATCCAAAGGAAGCTGGGTTTTGGCCCTGTCGTCTTTGCCTTTGTTCCCACCCAGCACTGGTCTAGTGTGCATACTTGGTTTAGCATTGTTTGTCCATCTATGGGAGAATGCATTCCTGGTTTTGTGCCAGCCTGTGGCCAAGGAATTCAGCTAATATGTCAAGAGTTCAGCTTTCTCCAGAGGGTGGGTTCTCAGCACTCATGGAAACCATGCTGGAGGGGTGCTGTGTATACCTGGAGCTCTCTGGGACGCATCGGCAGGCATGTCTGTGTGCACAGCTGATGAACCTTGAATAAAATAATTCATGTAGCAATCCTGTACCTAAAATAGCCGGCACCTGTGTATTCTGTTGCCCACTCTGCCACCCCCTTTCGGGGTAGGAAGGCATCTTGTTTACGACTTCATAGATCTGAGCGCATCCACTTCCAGTGTCTCCAAGTTCTTGTGCACCTTCAGGGACAAATACTGCCCTGCTTCTGCACAGCATCAGACAATGGGAAGATACTCGCTGTGTAGCCAGCAAGGTATGTCCAGGATATGCAGAAAGCAGAGCTCCAGATGTTTTGGACTTCAGTTCCTAGAAGTCTCTGCCAAAATGGGCAAAGTTCAGAAATGCTGGGAGTTAAAATCCAAAACATGTAGGGCTCTACCTTCTGACCACCTGGGGTTCAAGAAATCAGTTTTTGTTTCCTAAATTCATTCATTTTCAGTGCTACAGAACAACATTCACTTTGGTGCTTCTGAGTAGCTGCTGTCTTCATTTCCCAAACACTGGATTTTTCCAGGGCATTTCATACATCAAAAGCAGCACCCTGCACCCCGGAATATTGCAGTATGCAGGGGATTCTAGGAAAAGAAAATCTGGACTGCCAGTGCAAGTCACCAGTGAATTCTACGCTTGCTCTGCTGGCAAGGAATTCATCACCAAATGACTCGTAATGGTGGTTTTTCTCACAAAATAAATACATGCCTTAATGATCATACAGGTTGGCCACTTGCCGAGAGTCCGAGACATGGGCCGCAGAATAATAGGCATGAGCACTAGGACCCGGGCACCTAAGCCAGGGTCCAAACATCAGTCCTAGCCAAGTCCAGTAACCCAACATCAGAGCCAGGAGTAGCAGAGGCACAAGACAAAGTACAGTCCACAAGCCACTCATGTAGTCAACGCAAGCAGGAGCAGGAGACTGGGGCAGGAACTTAGCAACAACCAGGAAGCAAGACACACCACAGCAAGTCAGGGAAGCCCCATTGCTGCTGCAGCTTCTGGAGGGAAGAGCCAGTTCCGACATCGCTCTTCCTCCAGAGAGGGTGTGCATGATGGTCCTGGCAGCTGCAATAGACTGTGGGAATATGCCTAACTACCAGGGCCGTTATTCCTGCACTCATCCAGCAGGTGGAGCCCTGAGGCTGCCTCAGATCCTGACACCACCATGAGAAGTGCAGGATCTTGCTGTTAACCTATAAAGTCCCAGCTTCTTGGGACCAGGATAACAAGCAGATAGCATTCCAGACTTGCATGTTAATTAAGAGGAGGTCCTGCTGGTGGTGCTGTGGCCAGCAGACTGCCATCTCACAGCGGTCAGGAAGCAGGCCTTCTTTGTGGTGGCACCCAATTTATGAAATAGTTTCCCCATTTCCATTAGGGGGCACCAACTGAATTGTACTCCAAGCATCAAAGACCCATTTCTTTACCCAGGCCTTCTCTGACAGAATGTGCCCCCAATCTTTCTGTTATTATGGTGTGCTTTGAATTGGTTTGAATGCTTTTATTCACATTTTAGACTAATGCCTTAGCAATGTGTGGGCTTTAATTGTAGCTTAACATATACTACAACTCGTTTTGTTGACTCCTTGAGAGATATGCTCAAATATCTTAGCTGTATGTAAATCAGTCAAATCGTAAATCAATATGTACATAAGGAATTTGTTTTGTAGCCGATGAAAACTGAGTGGTGCGGAGGATGGAACGATGGTACGGCAGCAAATGATGGGCTTACGGTGAAAACACATCACAGGAGGCGAGGACAACCGGGGAGCTAATGCATGGTTGTTCCTGCTTTTTGTTCAGCCGGAGTCTGTGCTGCAGTGCCCAGAGGCGCCCGTGTGCCAGAGACACGCTTCTCGGCCCCCAGCACGCTCCCTGTTTTTTTTTCCATCCTTGCACAGTTTGCTCTGCTACAAATCAAGGGCTGCCCTCCAAAGCCATCTTTCTCCTTAGGAGCAACATTCCCAGGTACTTAGCTTCTTGGGCAAGCTGCTTTCTTTTCATCTCACTGTTCCCCTTCTGGGAAATGAATGTTTCGCGACCGAAATAGCTCCTAAAGGGTAGCTGTTTTGTGAGGGCATCCTTTGCTTCGATGTTGGGAGATTGCACCCTCCCGAATCAGACACCCTTCTGTGTAAACAAGCATTTAAATTGGGGGCCTTTCTACAAAGCTTTCTCAGGCTGTGCCCGCTCTCTCCCCAGCGTGTTGCTTTCAAAAATTCCCTGATGCTTCTCAGCAAGCACAACTCATTCAGCTGAATCCAGGAGTTCCTTCATGTTGTTGTGTCCATGATGCTCTATTGAGCTTCCAGAATTTTGCCCAAACCCAAAAATGTGGGGGAGGGCTTCCCGCCTAAAGTCCTCAACTGCAGAAGTTTCTGGAACTGCGTGTGACGTGCAAGGACCACAAAGAAAAATGTCAAGAGAGTATTTGGCTGTGAGGCGCTTTTACCAGACTTCTGCCAAGCAGCAATGCAGTTGACCCATGGATACTGGTCAGGCACTACAAACTGGATGTCCGGACCTGAGAAGATCACACTGTTGCCCAAGCAGCCCTTCAAAGCTGCAGTGATGACACTTCACCCTCCTCCAGAAAGTCGGTTTCTGACGCGTGTGTACGAGTATGTGTGATGCACAGGGACCACAAAGAAGAAAGACAGGTGGCTTAGCTAGATTGTGGCTCAAGTGGTCATCAGCGCATTGAGTCTGTGCGCTCGAGTTCCATGTTGGTACCGATGTCATCTGTGGCACCGGTGTTGAGGTCTGCCACAACTTTGACACCAAGGCTTCCTCTTGGTTCCAAGGCCACCCCAGGTGGTCTTGGGGGAATGGGTGGGAACTTGCTATGGTCCTATATGCCAGGATGGTGAAAGAGCCACAATTTCTCAGCTATAGGTGCTTCCCAGGTTGAGGTTCCATGTGGGTGCAAAGCCCAGACGTGTGAAGCCTCAGATGAAAACTTGAGGAACTACATTATAAATAAGCAATCTGTCTTTGCAGGGCAGGTTACAATAGAGCAGGGCAATGAGGGGACTGTTTGTTCCGTATAAAAGCCACCTGTCGGCATCATGGTCTCTGGGCAGCCATTACAATATTGCAGCCCACATTACAACCTTTTCTGGGTGGACATTGCTCCAATGAGCAAGTATTTCAGCCTGTTAAAATCTAAACTGGAGATTAGCCTGTCCATGAAGATGGCTGTTGGGAGCATTTGCCTTTTCTGGCTTAAAGATCCCTCCCATTTGGTGTGACTGGCTTGAACTCACCTGCACAGGTCAGCAGGACATGGGCCAAGGTGACGGTGATGGCGTAATCCCAGATCCACCATCTCAACAGCAGGGCAAAGAGGAGGCCACTAATGAAAAAGGTGATCTCCATGGCAAGTACATTTGCTAGGGAAGTGGGAGAAGGAACGAATGTTTAAATGAGGCAGAGTCAAGAAAGAGCGTATATGCAATATATATACAAATTAGAGTATTAGATCTCATTAGTCCCCGCCCCCCCCCATCTGTGAAAGACTGGCGCATGCATGCCCTTAGGAAACAGGGCAGTGGGCAAATTGAACTTCCAGGAGATTATATAATTAGGTAACATTTCTGTCTCTGACAATCCATTAACAATCTTGGCTGCTCCGCTGGGACATTTAGCTTGACATTTTCTGCACCAGGATGGGAAGTTGTTGTTTTTTTTCCGTCAAGAGCATTTGAGGGGCAGAGCCCAAGTGTCCAGGGGTGGGGCCACTATTGCTGCCTTCCCCTTTTGGCTTTCTTCCCAAGCAGTGGGCTGCTAGAAAGAGGACAAGTTTGTGCGACCAGCTGCTTTTTATGGCTCGAAAAGGGCTTTTGGAATTGGGCTAGGAGGTTCCAGAGGTTCCTCCCGCAACCCCCAACCCCCATCACCGCCCCATCTTTGCTGGCTAGGAGGAGCTATCCAGGACATTGAATGAGAGTGATTTTAGGGTTCCACATCTGCCTGCAAAGCAAGCGCTGTATCGCTCCGCCATGGCTCTTCCTCCATATCTGGTTGGAAATAGTGTAAAGTGTACTTTCGACTTATAAGCTACCCCAATGTGGAGGCCGCTAGACTTCAGCTCCCATCAGCCCCAGTCCTTGGCTGGGGGTGGTAGGAATTATAGTCCAAAACATGCGGAAGACACCAAACTGGGGAGGCTGCTCTAGGCAGCATTCACTCCTTTTTAGTTTAGCAGATTTTTCATTCCTCTGTGCCTCCCAAACCTCCTCAGCCAAGAAAAGGGCAGCTTTTTCTTTATGAGCTTTAAAAAAATTCTCTCCGGAAAGTCTGCTCACCCAGATAGCTGGAATTTGAGAAAGATGGCTCTGTTTTAAATCCAAAAGGGATCAGCATGCCAAAGGAATTGATCCTAGAAAGAAGAGAGTAGAACCTGACGTTAAAATGACCACAGAGGTCCCACTCATGGGTTTCTCCACCCGGATTCCCGTTCCCCTTCCAGTGAGCTTCCAGGATGCTTGACAACCCCGTCTTGGTGCATCCGTGCAAAGGCCTGTGTAGGACGGCTGTCTCCCAATCCACTTGCTTCGCATCACGCACAATTTGGGGCACCAGGAGCAGGCCTCCCCTGATTTGCCCTTTCTAAACGGAAAGGGTCCAACGTTGCAAGCCTTCCTCACAGCAGAGGAATCCTCTGCTTAAACTTAAACAGGGAAGAGGGCTGCCACTCTCCATAAGCTCCAGCAGTCACCTCATCTTCTGCTTAAGCTTGCACAGATCTTCCCCTGGGTGCTCTTTTCTGCATCTTCTCCAGCTCTACCATATCTATCTGGAATTGCAGAGACCAGAACTGTATACAAAGCATAGACAACCTGCCTGCGGGCCAAAATCTGCCCCTACACACCTTCTCCTAATTTTTATTTTTTAAAACAGTTTTCTATTCTTTAACCAGCAACTCCAGTTGCGCCAAAGCCAGCAGAGAACCTCTGATTGTTGGCCTCTAATTCTCCCTCATTCTCCCTCTGGACAGGTCCCTTGTTCATTTGATGAGCCATGCCTACCCGTGGTGTCGATTTAATGTTCATGCCCTAAACAGTTTTCCAAATGTTGCCCACAGACCCCAAAGGTCGCTGGCCCCCGTTGCAGACACACTTCTTGGTATGGTTGCACCTTAAATTTATACAAAGGCATAATGGTATTGGCAGTTTCATCGTTCAATTCTTTTCCTAATGATCCCTAACATGCAATTTGCCTTTTGTACTGCTGCAGAGCACTGGTTCATTGTGCATTTAATGTGTCATATAGTTTGGCCCTTTGCAGGTGGCCTTAGGAAAGTCTCTCTCTTAGCTTCTGCAAATCCACTGGCAGGAGTGGAAATTTGCAGTGACTTATGCTAGCAGGTTTTGTAAACAAAGAAGGTAATCTAGTGAAACACACTAAATACTTCAGTGCCCTGATCATTTCCATGTTTACTCAAAAATAAGTCCCACTACTAAACTCACCAGTAGTTGCATATGAAGGATTACTTATTTTAGGATTGTCTGTTGTTTTGATTGATTTTATTCATATCCCTTCCTTTTATCAGCATTTATTTCATTGCTGTGCTGCCCAATGGCTGAACCTCGGAGTGGTTTACAAACATTCACAAAAGCAATACAAAAATGCCATAAAATCTTATCCAAAATGCAAACTTTTTCAGCCAAAAAAAAAGCTTAGAATGCAGTGAAACACTTCCAGGATGGGCCATCTCCTTGAGGCCCTGAATATCCCTCTATGTCTTTAAAGGCCTGGTATGAAGAGCTGTCTTAACCTGGTGCCAAAAAGATGAAAAGATGGAGATGGGTGGACCTCAGTGTGGAGATCATTTTATAAATGAGGGGCCACTACAGAGAAACCCCTCCCTCTTCTCACCCTGCAGGCTTTCCATTAAGTTGGCACTCAGAGAAGGACCCTGAATGTTGAATGTAATTCCCAGGTAGATTGTAGTGGGGAGAGGAGCTCCATCAGGTACTGTAGACCTAAACCATATAAGCCTTTATTGGCTAAAACCAGCACTTTGAATTGAGCTCAGAAGCTACTGTATACATTAGCAAACTTTCACAGAATCTGCACAGCTTGAAAAATGTTGGCCTGCTCCAGCACCCATACTCGGATTTATCTGAATCCATTGTGAATTCCTCTGACATCCCTACTCCAAACTGCAACATTTTGTTATAGGCACCATTTGTTTCATGCTATTGTGATTTATCATCATTTCAGCCCATGTACACAGTCTGTGTATTGCATTTCTTTCCTTGCCACCAAGTTTGTCAGGCAGAGCAACCCTGTAACCTTGAAAATTTAGTCTGCTCCTCCCTGGACAGTCCGAATGTGCAAAATTATTACAGATCACTGCTGCCTTGCCAGACTAGGCAGTTAACCAAGAGCAGGGCTCCAGCTGGGGAATCATAAATCCATCTATCATGGGTGGATTATTGTTCCAATCCTAAATATATTTACTTGAGAGTTAGTCTCATTCATCTCAGTGGCCTTGCATTTCCGAGTTCAGGGGTTTAGGAACACATTCTTAAAAGGTGAAAGTCTCATGAGATTTTCTGGATTGCCCCACTTCAGATTGTGGAGAGGAAGGCATGGCTTTTTCAAACACAGCCTGTAAGCTAGAGTTTGCATGAGTCAGGCAGTGGTCCTGCTTACAAAGGAATAATTGAAGGGATGGGGCAGAGGCAGGGCAGATTCCACTTGCTGCTTCATTGGTTGACTGAATATCATTTTTTTAAACATCTGGAAAAATGGCTTTTGTTAAGAGGTCTTCAGAACAGATCCCAGGAACAGGCTGTCAGGGGTACCTTGTAATAGCAGAGAAGTAAGAAGAAATTAAAATAAATGGCCAACATTGCAATTAGCTACCATGCCGGAACCATTGCTGCACAGTAGAGTGGAAAAGGACATTCCCCGTGGGAACTCAAGTGGGAAGGCGGAACGCTCCTGGGAAACGCGCGCTGCAGCAGCTGCGGATAACATCTATGGTTCAAGGCAAGCGGCCTCACCTGAACGCTCCATAGCAAATGCTCCCGGTCATGTAATACACTGTGTAGAAAATGAGGAGACCCAGCAATGTATGAAGAATGATGACCTGGCAATAGAAGCAAGAGAAAGGAATGAAATGCCCCCCGAGGATCAGCACAGATCTGACATCTGCTGCATTGGTGTTTTCCATTTCTGCTGAGAAAGTTCGGCAATGCCTACCTCAGGGATGAGCGCTGGCCATTGTTTCCAGAAAACTTGGTACCGTGGTAGCTGGCAAAAAGAGTGAAGGGGAGATGGGCTGGAGGTGCCCATTAAGTACATCCTGACAGTTAGGACCCCTAGGCATGGAATGGGCTTCCACAGGAGGTGGTTGAAGCCCCATCAGTGAGGGTGTTCAAGGATAGGCTGGCCATGCATGTGGTACGCATGTCAGGAGCAGGAGCCAGCTGGAGCCGGGGGTCAGACTAGATGGCCTGGGAGACCCTGTCTGACTCACTCAGTTTCTATGTTTCTATTAAGACTGTTCCCAACCCTACAGAACTTAGGGGGTTTCTTGGACATGCAGACAGTTAGAAGTGGCCGTGTGCCCTCTTTTGCAGATGACAGCCCTGTATTTGGAGGGCTGCCAGAAGCCCTTCTTCTGCTTGAAGTGTCCACTGCTTTATGGGCTTTCTGCCTTTCAGAGAAGCAGATAATAAATAAATACATTGCAGCTTAAACATAGGAGACCCTAAGAACTGTTTCCAGCTGAAAAATAAGAGCCCCTACGTACTGTTGGCCTTCAGCACTTACTGTCCGAAGAGGCATGCACATGGGTCATCTGGCCAGGCCCTGTCTGTCAAGATGATGATGATGATGATGATGATGATGATGATGATGATGATAACATTTCTATTTCTATATTTCTAAGATGTACAGGCATTTCTCAATGTGCAGCTCAACATAGCCTAGGCACACGTATGCACACCCTTTCCCTCGTTTTGCAGTGGAGCATTTCCTCTGCTTTGGGAAATGGACCTGCAAGGGAGGAGGAGGTCGGGCTCTGATATGGGGAAGGCTGGAGATGGGGGCTTGCTTGGCATTTGCCAGGAGCGGGACACAGGTAACTTTTAGGAGAACTGGAGGGGTACCAGGTTAGGGAACTATAGTTTCCATGCTGCTTCCAAGGGAGCAATGCTCCGAGGCATTGTAGGGAAATTAAGTGGGCTTGTTGCAAGAGCCTAATGTGGCTTGGTGCCCTGCCGGCGGGTGGAACACGTGGTGGGCAGGACAGGCATCTGGGAGAGGCTTTGCCAGCTGCCCAGACAGCACCAGTCACAGCGGATTGGCTCCCTTTCCAGCACCTCTGTCTATAAAAGTTCACATCTACTTCCGAGAATCCACAGACTGGGGCGTCTAACACAAAACAGTTTTGTTGCTATAATTCACAGTTGTGGCACCCCATCTATGGAAATGACTTCCCAGAGAGATTCATCAAGTGCCATCCTTGTACATATCCCGGTATCAGGATAAGATGTTTTTATTTAAGGAGCATTTTAATTGTTGATTATTTTAATTGTAATTTGATTTTCATTATATTTTAATGTAAATTTTAGTTTTCTTAATTATGACATTTGAGATAATTCCAATCTGTTGTTAAACTATTATTTGGTGTTCCTGCTATGGTGCTATGTTATATTATTTGGTTTTAACTGTCTAAATTGTGCTTAACTGTGTTATATATGATGTTTTATGTTGTTGTTTTATTATGTAAGCCACCTCTATTATGTAGAGAGCCATGTGGTTACAAGACGGTACACAAAGTGTCATATAAATATTTTCTTTAAACTCTTTAAAAAAAAACAACCCTGCCTACAGAGGTGCAGAAAAAATTGATCAAAGTCAACCAGTAAATACACATACTCGTATTTTGTCCAGTGAAAAGCACCGAGGCTGAAGGAGAAGCAATTGGCACGCAGCCAGCTAAGGCAAAATTATTCTCCCACTGTGCTGGAGAATCCACATTTTAGCACCAGCAATCCTTCTACAAGCCCCCAAGGAGCAGGTGGCACGCTGGCTCTCTGCTTGACTGCCAAGTCCGCCTGCCACTGGTTTCATCCCTGACTCGGCTTTGCTTCCCATCCACAGAGGATGTCTAACCCCTGAGGACTTTACCTTGACGGTTGATGCATGGTTGCCTTGCAAGATCATGGGTAGGTAAGCTTCATAACAGCGAAGGAAATATTTCATGGAGCGCAGTCAAAGCCTGCACAAGACAGCTAGAGATTAAGACATCAGCTGCCTGCCAGAGGCCAAGATAAGGGTCAGCAAAGGAGAGCGTGGGGGAAGGGAGAAGGGAAGACGCCTGCGTCAGTTCCTCGACTGGCAAAGCCGGGTGGAATATCAGCTTTTGAAGGGGTAGATGGTGGCATCCCAGCAGTGATTCGCACAGGCTCCTGCAGCTGTCGCCAGATGCAGCTGGTGCTATTTCAACAGCTTTGACAAAATTCTTCTAAATTGGCTAAACCTGCTTCTTGGCTATCCAGTGTTACAGATCACATCCCACTATGGGGGGGATGGCTAAAATGCCTGGAATAACATTCGAAACAACCTTATGGAATGGAAGTGTAGCCTGAATTGTTGAAAATGAAATCATCCCACAGAGATAAATGCAAGGTAAGGTTCTCCTTGGAAGCGCGTGCAAAATCAAAGGTGCAGGCAACCGGTGGCTTGGAAGCAGCACCTGTGAAAAAGATCTCAGGACTGCCATCGCTTATGAGCAGAATACAAGTCTGCAGCATGATGCTCCCGGAAAAATGCAAAATGCAATTGTAGGTTGCACTACTAGAACTATTTCCCCCAAATGCCAAGAAATAGCTCCACTTTATTCTATCCTAAATAAACCTCATCTGGAAAACTGTCCAGATCTAAGCAATTCAGTTTAAGGAGGACAGCAACTGAAGATATTAAAAACAAGCACTATAAGGAAAGATTGTAGGAATTGGATGCATGGGGCATGAAGAAGAAAAGATTGAAGTGGACATGGCTGCATTCTTTGAATACGTGAAGGGTCGCCACATAGAAGAGGGCAAAGCTTCTTCTCCGTGGCCCCAAAAGGCAGAACTGAATGTTCTATAAACTTCCTGGCAATAAGAGTTGTTTGGCAGCTGGACCTGTTGCCTGAAAGTGGATGTTTCTCCTTTGCTGAAGGGCCACAAGCAGTAACCGGTCAGGCCGCCCCCACGTCTGTGGTTCTTTGAGCCTGCTCTGGAATAGGCCTGCTTCAGTCACTCAGGTTTTGAAGGCAACCATGCAACACCTTCATCAAATTGTTGTCGTCCTGTGTTTCCCCCCTGCTGCTTCTGTGCTTTCTCAGGCCATAGAAAATCTGAATTTACAATGAAAAAAAGAAAATCCACCTGGTACATTGCTACCAGGTGGATATCACATTAGTACTATTTGCCCTTTTTGGCAGGAGAATGTGGCTTTAATGTGTAGAATCATGCTTCTATCACATGCTGCCCTTCTAGGTTGTTTCTTCCTCTTCCTCTGGTCAGTGCCCTTTTACTCCTATTTCTACTGAAAACAAAACTAGAGGGTTTTTTTAACATGAAGTAATAGTCTAATAATATTGAATTTGTTTTTTAAAAGCACTGGGGTTCAATTTTTATATGATTTTAAAAACTGGTCACCAAAATGATTCAATTTCCTCCCGTTCACAACTATGTCATGGCCACTGGTGCACACAGAACCTAAAGGATTATATAATGTCAAATGTCACTTGCAGTGTCCCTTAATGATGCATGTCACTTACAAGGAAAGAACAAGGACTAAGTGGCCTTGTGGACTGGAAGGATGGAAGTGGGTTATTCCATGCATTTGAGGACACGGCCACCCAGGGCACTGCTGTCCTTTCCCAGATCCTTCAGCCTGCTGTGAGCTGAGCTTCCTCCTTTGAGCATTCTACTGACCCAAAAGCATAAATCAACCAGGACAGTTCTCTGAGCATGCACAGAGCAATTTGTTGAACCCAATCTAGTAATCACCTCCAGGAACCCTCCTCATGAGCATGCCTGAGCCCCATCCGTTTCTGAGGGGTCTTCTGAAAGTGAGGGTCCTCTCCATGCACCGATCCTCTAATTGGGTGATGCCTTATCATGGGGTCAAAAGCCGCAGCTGCCTGGTCTGCTTCTGAGAAACTCCCATGTCTATGCTCTCCTCCCACCTGCTGTATATTTTGAATATCCCCTGCCTGCCTGCCGGGTCTGGCCTTGAGATAAGCATGTCCACCTCTTCCATCTCCGTGTGATGGCATGGCCCATCTTCCCCAGCTCCCCTTTGATCTGCTTTACATTCCAATTCTGATGAATCCCAGCCAGCAGTCGTTGAGAACAAGTGCCCAAAGCAGCCAGCCTGCACACTCCAAGGTGTGCGGCCAAGGTGTCAGGGTGATGCTCACGAAACTACGAAACACAGCTGCGCATGGATAGCCAGCTGCCCCGAGTCCCTCCCAGCGGGCAGCCACTTTCCCCCTGCCCTAAAGGCTGTGGCTGAGATCACTGCAGCCTCTCCTTCTCCAGCCCTTCTTGGAGGCCAGCTAAGGTCACATAGCGTTTGCAGTGCAGCATAAAATCCGCTGCCTACATTTTGACTTTTGCCTTTTGCCAGTCATTTCTTTACTTGATGGGGAAAGGAATAAAATGGAGGAAACATCATTAGTTAGAAAAATAGGTCCCTGGCTTTGTAGTTAATGAAACTTGGTAGCCTGCAGCCTTATAGAAGATAGAATCTTCCTACCATAGGAAGAAAACAGTTATTCCACCAGGTCTGTCATTTTTTTTGAATACACGGCATTGCTTCTCCCGCCACTTGCAAAATGCACACTGTTTCAAGCACATCAGCAAAGAGCACAGCAGTCAGTGTTTGGTCAGGATCCTGCACTGTGAATGCGTACGTTTCATTGGAGAAGGAAAGGTTAGCTCCTGTGGCTTATTTTCCCAGCCATAGTCATGGGCTGCATAATTATGCTCACTGGGTGTGGCTTCTTGTATCACCCAAATTATATGTATTAGATTTATATTCCTCTTTTTATTTTTTGAAAGAACTTAGAGTGGCTTACATCATTTCATTCTCATGTGCCTCTAGCAACCCTCCAAACTGTACAAGCTGCTGATCGGTTATAAAAGCATCTTGTACAGAATCCATCTTGGTAGGCCCTTTGGAGGCTACCTATAGGCCACATGTATTTCCTGTATGTCTGAATAAACTAAGTGTTCTTCTGATTGTACACCTCTAGAAGACTCTCTTCAGAAATTTTTTCCATTCTTGTCAGGGAAAAAGGGGCTATTCGAATTCCCAGATTTGA